CTGTGTGCTGGAGAACTAAACAATCCAGTCAGAGGTGGAGGAGCTGGAACTACTGCAGAATCCTGGTGGTGGTGGAAGGATCTGCATCAGAAGGCTGAAGAATCGAGCTGGGAGGCTCAAGATTTGGGAGGTTGAAGGGTCTGCACTGGAATCCTACAGGTGGATGTGCCAAGGTGATGAAGACTGGAGCAAAGCTTCTTTCTTCTTTCCCTTTTTATTCTATTCAGACTACAAGACTGTTGGCTGGTGCCACTCACACCCCAAGTGGGTCTTCTGTTTTCAGTAAATCCACCCAACCACACCTAGAACTATGCTGACCCAGTCAACTGGGTGCTTCTTACTCGAGTTGACACAACAGTTAACTATATCACAGGGTCAAAAGCACATGTATTTGGGTACAGTTTGGAGGTATAAAGAGAGAACATTGCCAGTAAATACGAGGGATGAGAGTAGTGGGGAGATCAAGGGCGACTTCCAGGGTTCCAGCATGATCGTGGACCATCTCCAGATGGGCTTGGCTCTTTTCAGTGTAGCAGTGGCTCAGATGAAGGTGCACTGACAATATGAATCTAGTGAAGTAGCTAATATGAAATAAGAAGAATTAATAATTTCAAAAGATACCATAAGATTTGAGATAAAATTAACAGAAATAAATGGAGTTCTATAACCTAGTTTTAAAAAAAAATGTACACAAGATAGAACCAGGCAGACTTAGTCTAGTAGCAGTTTACACTAGAAGTTCAAAAAGAATTAAAAACTGTGATAGGGCTACAATAAAAATGAACCTGAAATAGGTTGCCTTTAAAGAAGTACGATGTCCAGTATTGGAAATTAAAAATCCTATCATGCTTTGAACAGCTTGGACAAAAACTGATGCAGTGTCTTAGTGACTTTCCCATCACTGGGACAAAATACCCAACACCCACAACTTAAAGGAGAGGTTTATTTTGGCTCACAGTTTAAGTACAGGGTTGGATGTTTCCCAGGAAGAAATAGGATGGCAAAGAGACATTGCGGAGGAAAAGGCACGCAACCCATTGCATCCAGGAAGCGGACGGAGAAGGGATGAGCCAGGGACAAGAATACCCTCTTCCCGGTCACACCCCATCCGGGGCCCACCTCCTAACAGCACATTCAGTTCCTGAACTCAATGGGTGAACCCACGATTGAGTAAGGTGCCCCCAAGACTCAGCGAACTTCCAAACACATGAGGTTTTGAGGGGACATTGTAGATCCAAACCACAGTGGGTAGCATTGTGCTCAGCTTGGCACACTGTCCTTGGAAAGGACAGTTGAACAACTGCACCATGAGACATAGTCAACCCCGGCTCTCTCCTACCATGAAAGGAGCAGCTGAAAGGAGTAGAGGATTTCAGTCAAATAACACAGTCTTAAAATGAGCACTACTAAAAGGTTGGTTAAATAGAAGGGAGATAAGCATTCACATAGATTCAAGTAAGTCTAGAGGTTCCAGTGAAGACCCAAGGGTTGAAACAGCAGGAGTGATTTCAGCTCAGCCTCAGTTCTAAAGCATGGGAATTTCCAGAAACAGAAGGGCTTGCATAATGCATTCCTTGTCAAAAAGGTATTTTGTGGGTCTGGATGCCTGTGTGTTGGTAACCACAAGCAGAGAGGTCTCCTGTCCTGAGTGGAGGACAGGACAGGGTTATCTCTGAAGGTCTCCCTGATGCAGAAGTCTACACTTGCTCTTAGCCCAAAGGCTGAGAACTGAAGCTCAAGTCTAGAATTCTAAGTTTCCTAACAGGCCTCTTCTTGGGGGACATAAAGCTCTTAGGGTGTCCCTGTACCACATCTTACAAAGTACTGATGACATGAGGGTTCTTACAAGCTCTGACCATGTTCTTCATGGTTCTAACTCCGACCACCCCTTCCCCATGTCCCATGTACAGTTACACAATCCTCTTCTTGTCAAGACTAGACACAACTTTGGAAGAGTCCACACCTCACAGACCAGTTGTCATGTAAGAATGCCTTCTCCAGCACCATGGTTCTAACTCCGACCACCCCTTCCCCATGTCCCATGTACAGTTACACAACCCTCTTCTTGACACAACTTTGGAAGAGTCCACACCTCACAGACCAGTTGTCATGTAAGAATGCCTTCTCCAGCGACCTGTTTTGGCCTCGGCCCTATTAATACTGTGGCCAGTGGTTGGCAGTGTGGAAGCTTAAATGATACTCGCATGAAACGGAAAAATGGATCACTTGTATTCCGCATTGTTAGCACAAGAATACCATCTTGTGTTTCTCTTCCAGGAAACCATAATTGCATGTTCAGATATCTGTTTGGACAAATAGGGACATCATTATGCTCAAAACAAAAGCGTTCAAATAAACCATCACTCACTCCTCTCTGATCTCTCTTTAAGATGTCGTATGTCTCAAGCCATCTCAGATCAATTTTCTCAAACCGTTCTATGATCTATTAGTGTCAATTAGATGACAGATTGCTTCTTTCTAAGAATCTAAACAGAGGTATACTTATCTAAATTTTAATCTTATTCACAGCAGATTCTGGTGTGGTCTCAAGTATACTTAGAACGTTGCATACAAAAGTTGCTTCTTAGTGAGCTGCTAGAAAAAGATTTCTGTTTTATATGAGTTTTGGGAGGAATACAGAGGGTCTCCAGAAGTTAAAGGCAAGGGCTGTGGGCCTCTCAGTACATGTTACTTTCTGTAGGGTGTGATGTTAGCTCCCTTAAACATGGAAGTAAGAGGGCTGTTTTCATCGCTGTGGGAGCACCTCATTCAGCCCAATTTAAGTGTGGGAAAGAAGAAAGAGGAGTGGCTTACTGAAATCTTCCCTAATTAACACTGCTTGTGCTTGAGAAAGGAAAAGGTGATAGGAATCTGTGAAGAACTTCCTTACCTCTTTGCTAAGGGTTTTCAGAGGCTCACTGAGAGTCATCTACAAAGAGATTCAACCCACAGAAAGTTTAAGGAGGTAACCACGTCAAGAAACATGCGGTTCTAGGTTCTAGGGACTCTTAGCAGAGGGGACACTACAAGTATTTCCACAGAATGTTTCTTTTGCTGTTAAATTTTCAATTTCTCCCAAGTCTAGGGCCTTTGCTAAATCATTATGTAGATGTTGGTAATTAGCCCCTCCTGCTAGGACAACTTTCTGCAAGGTCATATTCTTTATTTATTGACCTCGGTTCTACGGTAATATCTCCTCTCCTGGTCAATCCCAGCAGAGTCCCAACAGGGCACATGGTGGCTCCAGAACAACACGTGGGAGGTCCTAGGGTCACCATCCTGTACCTACTGAGAAGCCCATTCTGTTCTGTGCCTTCGGGGCCAGTCCTTGCACGCGAGAGAACACAGAGAATCTCAGAGTGTGCTTCTTCAACATAAGTATTGCTTATCTTATAAGGTAGAGAAAAATCAAGCTGCACTGTGGTCCTATATCTTTGTCTCTGACAGAGGATATCAAATCAAGCTCTATTACAAACCTCAGAATTACTGGGTTAGTTAATAAGTGCTTATTCTCCATTTCTGGTGTCCCTCAACTGGAATAGAGCATAAGGACTCTCCCTCTTAATCACCTCCTCACTTAGGGATCTTAGCTAAATGAATATGTATCTGAGGGCAGGTCCTTAATAATCACAATCAACCTAAAATCCCCTTTAATGGCAGGTATAGTATGACCTTTACCAGTGTTGGGTTTGTGTTCTCTCTCCCAGGGTCTACTTTACCTCGATGAAGCACTGTTCCTCTTCTCTTTTCTGGCCAGTTTCTGGCAGCCCATCTGTTCCCCTGGTGACTACTTGTCTGTCCAGGGCTGTTCCGCACACAGGAGAAGCCAAATGTTATGGGGCCAGGGAGAGCTGGGAACAGTCATTCTGCCTAGGCTATGAAAGGCCTCTGATCTGGGACCAAGAGCAACAGGTCTCAGGTGTGAGATGGGAGAGGACAGGGTAGGCCCCCGCACTGAGAACCTCATGCTGGGCCAAGGCCCTCTCAGCAGTGCTTGTTAGGAAAATAATTGCCTTTAATTGCTCAAACTTGGAATCAATTGCAGTGATGTATTTTTGTCCTAGGGATATATTTTTCTACAACAGGAAATGAGTACTTTCACTTGGAAACTGCAATATTTTTTTCCTTTTTAACAAGAAGGCTTTATTTGCAGTTATCATGTCTGTTTTAACTAAACGATTCAGAAATAATCTGTGTAATCTCTCACATCATTGTAACCACGCTCTTTCTTTAGAAGGATTTGATAATGAGCTAGATGTACTGAAACAAAAACATGAGTTCATCACTGGAAAAAAAATTTCACTATACACAATCGTCCAGATTTCTCCACTAGTTAAAAGAGGTGCGTATTAACCTATGAGGAGGCGGGTGCAAAAGAGTGAATTGGATTGGTGGTATAATGTATGAAAAGTAGCTGTGGAGTGATTGATTATATGGTTTGGTTTGTATCTTTCTGTTAAAAGTGAGAATCTACAGATGGAAAAAGTTAAGCAAGCTGCCCAGAGTGACAGGGTCCCTCTCTTAAGACTACTGTAAGCTTTCCCCTTTACACCCCCTGTCTCACCCTGTGTAACGAGAGTCCACATACCACAGACTACAGAAGCTTTCTTTCATCATGTGGTCTTCAAGTCATCTCCACTGAAACGTTCCCAAAGAGCTACTTGGGCTTTGATTCACATAAAGGATTTGAGCTCATATAGTTACAGAGATTGCAGTGAGTACTTATTTATTTAGTTACTTTTTTTTTTTGGTACCGGCGATGGAGCTTGGGTTCTTGTGCTTGCGAGGCAGGCGGCGGAACCACTGAGCTAAATCCCCGGCCCTGAGTACTTATTTATTTGATAGAATGTTTTTATTGAACCTCTCAAAGCAAGGTGACTAATAGAGTCCACATTTTGTATACTATTAACTGTATAAATAGGCCTTTGCCTTTCAAAAATGCAAGGCCAGAATATATTGTTTCCTAGTTACTATAACAGGATTTATTTTCTTTACCTTAGGATACTTTTGACTTCGGTGACATTGCTGTCTATATATTCAATAAACCTTCTATTGATTTGCTCTAAGGAAACAGGTAAGCTGAGAAGGTGTCTAATTTTATTGAAGTCAGGGCAAATGATTTTCATGCTGTGACAAGATGATGTTCTCTCTGTTCAGCAACTTGATGATTAAAAAGAAAGACTCAGCCATAAAGAACGAGAAAATAGATTCATTCATAGGAAAATGGATACATATTGAAGATATACTCCTAAGAGAAATAAATAAGTCACACATGTGTAAATACCGAATAGTTTCCCTGGTGTGAATAATCTACAATAAAACACAAGATCTTAATAAGATTACTGTCATTTAGAAATGGGAAGAAAGGAGCTAAAGGTGTAGGGAAGGTGGGATGGGTAGGGGAAGGGTAATAAGGGAAAAGAAAAAAATGTAAGATAATGAAAAGATGAAAATAAAGTGTTTGTAGATGGGGAGGGGAGGAGGGGGTGAAGGGAGGGCAGAGGTAAGGGGAAAAAATGAGAATCAAGACTTGTCATGTAGAGGTACAAGACCCCAACAATGAATGTAACTGTACTATATCCCTAAAATGTACCAATAAACTCAATTAAAGCTGAAAAAAATACTGAATAATTTCTCTGGTGTGAAAAAAGGGAGGCTGAAGCAGGAGGATCACTTCAAATTTGAGACCAGCCTGGGATACATAATGAGTTCCAGGGTAGTCTGAACTAGATAGTAAGACCATGCCTCAAAAAATAAAATAATTAAATAAATAAATAAAAAGACTTGATTTTGACCTGCAGTAACTGGAAGACTTCTCATGGTATTTACCTAGAGAAACAGGCAGCGACATTTAAATTGTCATGGACAGTGAGAAAATAGTGTTGTCATTGGAAGTGAACATCAGTTGTACTTGTTTTTCTAGTTCCAGATGACTTCAATTTAAAGGCTTCAGTTTTTCCTTATGTCTTTGTAAATTCTAAACTAATACCCCATGTTTTCATATAATAACCTCCAACGTTTTAAAAGTAAACAGACCTTTTATTCTCCTTTGTGCATACTCCAAAGAGAAAATGTTACTCTTCAGGCTGTGTGGGAGTAAGCAACCCACCAAGGACTTAAATTCCCTGGGCAGTATAATACCTGAAGCTCTTGTTTTCTGTTTCTGGGACACTGGATTATGTTTGTAATACTGTGACTTTTACATTAGCTCAAGCCATATTGGCCAGCTATTATTGTGTACAGATGCCTGGAACATTTTGTAATAAATTCAGGATCTAGCCATTGTCTACTTTAAACACCAGTCTTAGGAGAGAGTAAACAAAAGTTTAATTGTAGCTTGTAACCCATGTTACTTTCTGTGAACCTTTTGAAAACATGAACTAAACTGTTACAATGAAATAGCAACGCTGAGAATATCAAATTCTAATGAATGGTTTAGAATTTTAGGACTTGTTGAGATGAGCTGTTTGACCACTTTAGAATTTTGCTGTAGTCAAATTACTCATTAAACAGATCTATCTGCTGCTTTCTTTTGGGAGTTGCATATTTTTGAACTGAATTTTACAAATGATCAGAATTCTTATGTGGTGACTATTAGATGCTTCTAGTGTTTTAGAACGAGATAGCTAGGGTGCTATGAAGATAATTCCTTGTTAGCCTAATCAGCTCAGGTAATTAATTTAGCAGGAAACTTTTGCCTCAATCATCAGGATCTTGTAAAGTCAAATCTTTTTTCAGTGGTTTACACCAAATTTGAGAAAAAGATCAGAGTGGGAATTCCCGATCCACACCCCAACCCCAAGGTACAGATGGCTAAAAATAAGCTTTGTGACCTAATAGTTCATTTGTCATGCTTTTGTATCCAACATGAAAAAGGAGAAATAGTAATCGTGCGTGACATTTTAAAATGTCAGGAGGGTTGTTTTATAATGGCGATGCCTTAACCTAGCAAAACCAAGATGGCTGTTTATTTGAGTTTGAGAAAGGCATCAAATATTATGGGAGGTGGCCAACAGAATGAAATGTTGGCTGTTTTTAATTTAGACCTTCTCACTTTCTTATGTCCTCAAATTTCATTTTTAAATAGGCTGCATGGTTTATGAAAAGCTGGGAGAACAAGTCTTTGGTACTACGGGGAAGCTGGTAACCTTTGGAGCCACTGCCCTGCAGAATATTGGAGGTAAGAAAAACATGTTTTTCTATACATAATTCTAAAGTATGTTGATACTATTTATTATCTTTTCTAAGTCTGGGGGTTAGGTGTCCACATAAAATTCAACATAATTCAAATAGTAATCACCTGGTTGCTAAAATGGAACATGGGAAGTAGAGCATAGGTAGTGAGCACTTATTTAAAAGCAAAAACCTGCAGGGGCAGCTAAAGGTACCTTGTGTCTTACTGAAGGTTAGTGAGTCTAAGACCAGGCTGGTAACCTTTCATAGAGCTTGCAACGTGAGCCTTAGTATCATCTTTCTAAAAATGTTCTCATTTCCTTCCAGCAATGCTAAGCTACCTCTTCATAGTAAAAAATGAACTACCTTCTGCCATAAAGTTTTTAATGGGAAAGGAAGAGGATTTTTCGTAAGTTATAGACTATTTTTTGTGATATAATTAAAATATTTTAATTTAAATGTGGGCTAACCAAAGCTTTTGTTTTGTGAAAATTGCAGAAACAAAGTTTTTTTGTTTGTTGTTTTAACAATAAATCTCTTTAGAGTCATATGCATAGAAGAAGCAGGAGGGGCCATTTGATTATGAGCATTTAAAAGGTATACTTGGGGCCGGGAATTTAGCTCAGTGGTTCTGCCGCCTGCCTTGCAAGTGCAAGGTCCTGAGTTGAACAGTTTTTATCACTGTTAGTTTCTCTGTTTCTCTTCAATAGATAAGTGTAGAAGCCAGAGTTCCTAGTGTTCCGGCCTTGGGATTCAAGGTCAGATCCATAGGATCAGGCAGAAAGAAATGCCTACCTGTGGTGACTGGATTCTTGCTGCTATTAGTCAAACAAAACAAAAAGGAACTTTCTCTTTCAATAATTGATAAGACAGGTTGTAATCTGACAGAATGCAATGTATACATTCAGCTTTGAAGCTACATAAATAATTCAAAGGAATGCCACATTTGGCCAATGGGAGAGGAGGAAAAAAACAATACCCCCTTCTTCCATTACACAGGCAAAGTAAAGGGATAGTGGTTAGGTCAACGTGTCTGGATAAAACCGGAATAGTGATCAAACATTTGATGGTAAAATTAGTATTAAAAGTTAACTAAAATACATCATAAAATTTTACATCTGAAGGGGAAGAATGTCACTTTCTGAACAAAAACTATAACCTAGCTGCTTACCTGCCTTTCAGACCCTGGTATGTGGATGGCCGATTTCTGGTGGTGATAGTTACCTTCGGCATCATTCTCCCTCTGTGTCTCCTGAAAAACTTAGGTAAAGAAATACCTTAACTTCATCATAGTGTTTCCAGCGCCCAGACGAATCAGAAACCTCACAAAAATGGACAGTTTTGCCTTCTGCTTCCAGTTGTAGAGTAACAAGTGAATCATAAATTACGAGAATTAATCAGGCCCAGCAGTACTGTCAAATGTAATCCCAGCCAACTGGAGGGTTGCAAATTCAAAGCCAGCCTGGGAAATTTAGTTAGACCCTGTCTCAAAATGAAATTGAAAATAAAAAGGGGTGAATGTGGCTCAGTGGTGGAGTTCTTGCCTAGCATGCATGAAGCCCTGGGTGCCATCCTCATTCTGCAAATAAAAACTAAAGAGAGCGAAAGCAGTGCTGGTGTGTATGTGATTTCCTAAATAGTCCCTCTCCGTAGCTGGAAGGCCTACAGAGAGGTCTTGAGGCCTGGACAGATACTGCAGTTTGCGACAGCACAACTTACAGGCTGCTCTAAAAAAAAGTCTAGAAAATGGACTTCTCCCATGAGGTCTTAAATACTCTGATTATTTAGACAAATAGATTTTTAAATCTAATATCAAGACACAGTTGCTTATGTTTATGCACAGAAGTATATGAATCACTCAGAAATTTAGAACCTAGCCAAGCGAAATGATTTCTCTTGCTGAAGGGAGTGAAATTTAAAGTTTAAAATGACAGATGATGTCCAAACCAAGTCATATCCATTTGGTTTTGACATTTGTTTCTGTGCTTGTATGTGGAGACTGGTATGCCTGGTACTTTGGGAATTTAACACGGTTTCCATCCAGTCATAAATCTCAAAGATGCATTTTCTTTAAATCTGACTCAATTCAAGGCAGAAGTATGGATGAAGATCTTCCAAAAACACAGGGTTTTTATTTTTGTTTTGTTTTGGCTTGGTTTAGAAATGTCAGGTTTTGGTAGCTTCTATGGAATTTATAAATAGATGTGTTTAAATTCCTTACTTTTTGTTCTCTGAATCTGCATGTAGGCCTTATCCATATGCATAGCAGTAGCTCTATCCTGTTTTCAGAGGGGCCCTACCAGGAGGCTGCAGGCCATGGCAGCACAGTAGGAGCTCTCCAGGCCTTCGAAGGGGAGGGAGTGAAGATCCGCAGAGGGCCCATTGATCTCTAGAAATTCACCTCATCTCTTCCCTGAGTGCCTCCCATCTGGGGAGGAAAGTATTACAACTAACACTCAGTAAGCACACAGTAAGTTCCACCCAGAGGCTCAGGGAGTAAATGGGTTTGCCCATCAGACTCCACCACATTCCAAAAACTCACAGACATAGGGCGAGAGCCAGAGGCTCCTTTTCCCTGGATTCTGAGAATCTACATTCTCTAGTGTGCCAGAAAGCACTGGACTCAGCACACTGGGTTTAATACCCTCAATGAAAGCCTCCTGTTTTTTACTAAACTAAGTAGCACTGCCAAATAAGAAACCTTAGCCAGCCAGCCATGGTGTCACTTGCCCGTAATCCTAGTACTTTCTGAGGGACTGAGGTAGGAAAGTGGCAAGTTCAAAACCACCCAGGCCAACTTGGCAAGATCCTGTCACAAAATGAAAAATACAAAATTACTGGGAAGTGTAGCTCAGTGCAGAGACTGTGGTTTCAATGCACAGTACCACAAAATAAATAGGTTAATCAAATAAATAAATCTCATATACAGTGGCATGTATGTACATTATTAAAGTCCCACACTTTGCTTGAAGTAATGCATCAAAAAATAGAAGTAATGAGTGAAATAATAATAGCAATTAATTTTTTTTTTCCTTTTTAAAGGGTACCTTGGCTATACCAGTGGATTTTCCCTGAGCTGTATGGTTTTCTTTCTAATCGTGGTAAGTGCCAACTATTGGTTTGTCCTTGACATGTGTAATGCCAGGCAATAATTATTTGTTACTTGGTTTTAATAAAATCTATGTGTTCTCTTATATTTTTTGATACCAGGTTATCTACAAGAAATTTCAAATTCTCTGCCCTTTCTCACAACTAAATTCAACAATAAGTGCTAATTCAACAGATACTTGTACGCCAAAATATGTTACCTTCAACTCAAAGGTATGTCCCTTAAAGATAAACATGAGCATTTTTATTAAGAGAAGTATATTTCTCGTACTTGTAGTTACACTGTTTCGAATGTACTCATTCTTGAAAGAACACACAGTAGCATCACTTTTGTATTCCACAATCCATTCAGAAACCATTAAAAAATACACAAATGCTTCACCAAGCTGTGACCTTAAGCATTCTCTGAAAATCTCTTTCTAGATAATAACTGTCTCAGCTCTTTCTGTGCTGTGTAGAGTACTAGGTGATGCTTTAAAATCAGATTAATAACATCTTTAGCTTGACAGGGTGGTGACAACAAGAATACTACAAACTGCCTCAGCTTGCACAGTTAGAGACACCGCCACAAAGGCACTTGAAAAGCTTTCATACTACTAAGAGGGAGTTGAAGCTGAGTTTGGTAGCACATGCCTGTAATCCTACCATTTTGGGAGGCTGAGGCAGGACAATCACAAATCCAAGCGCGGCCCCAGCTTAGTGAGATCTTGTCTCAAAATGAAAAGAAAACATTTTTAAAAAGAGGTCCAATCCTCAGTACCACAAAAGAAAAAGAAAAAGATAGGGTTGATACTGCGGATTATGCAGTCAACCAAGGTTGGGATTTGGACCCTTAAACAAGACATCAAGCCCTTGCCATGAAAATGAGAATCTTGTTCTGCATCTTTCAGGGTTTTGTGGAAACGTGCCTGGCACATGGCCTCAGCAAAATTAGATGTTACTTTTCCTTCTCTACCAGCTTTTTTTTTAACATGAGAAGTTATACTGAATTTGAGTTTTTAAATTTTATTTAAGAATACTAAATATATTCTCTCTCTCTCTCTCACTCTCTCTCAACTGTAAGGGACAAAGCTAAAAAGTGAGCTGTAGAACAAATTTTCCTTTAGATGCCATCTTTTTAGTATGCTTTTTTTTTTTTTTTTTTTGAGACGGGGGTCTCACTGTGTTGCCCAAGCTGGTCTTGAATTCCCAGGCTCGAGGGATCCTTCTGCCTCATCCTCCTGAGTGACTAGGAGTGCAGGTCCATGTCACCACATCCAGTGCTTAGAGTGTGCTGTGCTGCACCTGTGGCAGCACAAAGAGCAGGCAGTAGAGGCGGAGTTCCTGGCCAAGTCACCGAATATGTTTCAGGGAGATAGAGATAGCCAGGACCTGTCTGCTGCGGCGACCAAGCAGATGATGGAGGAGAGGGGCCAGGTGACTGGTGAGGCCCATGAACATGGGATGTGCGTGCCTGGGGTTTATAAAACACACTGTAAGAGCCAAATCTAAAGGCCTCTATGTAAGGGTCTAGTGGCCCGAGTTAGATATGACCTCTTAGAAAAGCTGCTCTTATTTTTAAGATCAAAACCCTCCTGAAAAAACAAATAATCTGGGGATCCTGAAGAGCTTTCAGATAAAAGAATGACAGCTCAGAAATACTCTGTAGTTGTATGGCAAAAACGTCTTTTCTTAATGTTTATGGTTTTTTCTTTTAAACAGACCGTGTATGCTTTACCAACCATTGCGTTCGCCTTTGTCTGCCACCCATCAGTCCTGCCCATCTACAGTGAGCTTAAAGAGTAAGAGACATGAATTTTACATCTTAATTATTTTAAACCTCCTCATCAGTAGGCCAAGTTCTGCATTAAAGATTTGTAAAATGAACCTACAGAGATTCATCACCCATCTTCAATATTTACTAACATTCTGCCTTTCTTGAGCAAGTATCACATTAAGAAAAAAATCAGAAATCTCCAGTGTTTTTAGCCATAAATATAGAAAGTGTCCAACCATGTGGGCTTTTTAATTAATTTGGTTCTTCAGATACCATAGTATATTATGTGTGTTCAAGTATCTGTGTTGCTTTTTGTTGCTTAGGCTTATTTTACAAGTGGGTGATAATCTTCAGATTGATCTGTAAATTGTCTCTGATTTGCTTGTTGCTTTGGGTGGAAAAGGCTGGAAAATTGGATGATGAAAAGTAAATATTAAAACCATAAACTAGAAAAAAATGTTCACCTCGAATTATTAAGATGATTCTATGGATTTATTTTTGCTTGTCAGTTTAGAGAGGACTAAAGGCCTGCTCACAACAGACTCACCCTACATAAATAGGCACAACGACATGATTTTAAGCCCAGGAAAGATATATTACGTAGCTATTTACTTGCATTTTGAGATTTTTAAAAAATGGAGGCGATTTAGCATTGTTCTTCTTTCATATATAATTGATACATAGCTAAATTTTGAGAAATCTACATATATCTACATATCATTCCTTCTTGATGAGCTGTGTTTTGGAAATTTGAGTAGGTCTTGGCATCTCTTATGTCTACTATTCTAGCTTTTATTATGTCATTATATCTCCATATGCCCTTGACATCGTAGGTTCTGTCAGGATACAAACAAATGTGACTATCTTTGTCTACTATGGAGTACAAGTCTTGTGAATTCACTATGTGAGCCACTAAATGAAGTTAAACATTATCCCAGCCTCAGCATAAACTTGACCTAAGAGGGAGCTGTGAGTCCCTGGGCACTTACTGCTCCAGAGACACAGACTTTAGGTGTATCTTGGGGCTGCTTGCTGGGAAAGCAGAGCCTGAAGAACAGCTTCACAGAGTTCCCGAGGTCAAGTTCCTGCTCTGCTGCTGTTGTGGGCCTGGGAGAAGAGCACTTGGGTTGCTTCTGCTTTTTTTCCTGTGCATGGTCAAATGTGGGGATCGGAGAAAACACAGTTATGAAAGACACTGTCAGCCCCTCAGTTGAGAACTCGTTGTAAAAGCCTGGGAAAAACACTCAAGGGAGTGCAGTTCATGGTGTCTGCCTCACAATCCCCATGTGGTACTAAAGGAAATTACCCTGCCATCCTTGCTGCCCCAGTGTGACAGAGGGAAGATGAAATTAGTATTTTCTTGTGTTAACCTTGGAGCTTCAATTCCTTCATACAGTTTTAAATTTTTGAAATGTCTTTATTTTTGTTTTTAGTCGATCCCAGAAAAAAATGCAGATGGTTTCAAATATCTCCTTCTTTGCCATGTTTGTTATGTACTTCCTGACTGCCATTTTTGGCTACTTGACATTCTATGGTAAGTAGCTTCCGCAGGCATGTACACACAGGTGTTGGTAAATACATTAGCAAAAGTCAGCACCACAGGAACCATTAACGTGGAGGTATGGAAGAGCAGCACAGCTACCCGTCGGTTTTGTTTTTGTTTTCTTATGGCAAATGGGGATTCCTTTTATATATTCATGCAGACTGCAAAATGAAATAATTACCAAAACAGTATACTGTTTTTATTTCCTGGTAGCGTCCTTAAAACAAACTGCATTTTCAAAGCATACCGTCTTTACTTAAGAAGGTTTAAACTACACCAGAGAAGGCTTTCCTAATTGATACTGCAAACTGGGTCAGATTCCATTAATAGAAAAGAGAGACAAAGACAGATGTTGAAAGTGAGAAAGAGCAGGGTGCTACACTCATGACATTCGGTGTTAATTAAAAGTAAAACACCTAATTGTTCACCAGAAGTTAAAGCCTTACAGAGACTGAAAGGAAAGACCTGGGAAGTTAAAAGGAGAAAAAAATCCGAAAGAGAAAACAAGGTTTCATTTGAAATTGTTACTGACTCTATTTAAATAGTTGACCTGCTTTTGCTACTTTTTACACTCTCCTACTCAAATGATCCTAAGCTTTATTTAACATCTTTCCTTAGCATTATAATTTGGGACTTAATTTAAATAAATATATTTCATAGTCTCCTCTATTGAACAATATTTAATTGGGGAATTTTTTTGTTTTTGGTTTTTTTTTTTGAGACAGGGTCTCACTATGTAGTTGAGACTGACCTGGAACTCACTATGTAGTCCAGGCTGGTCTCGAACTCACAGCGATCCTCCTGCCTCAGCCTCCCGAGTGCGCCACCACGCCCAGCCTGGGGAATTTTTTTATAAACAGAAATATCTCAAAATTTAAATACATTTAAAGATTAATTCAACTTGGGGAGAAAGGCCACTCTGTATAGCTGTATTATTATTTTCATGAGCAATAACATTATCTTATGAATCCATACCTGCATTTAGTTTTTCATTAAAATGGTACTTCTGAGGTTCCCACAGAACTGCAGGGCTGGGGTCAGCAAAGGGAAGGCGTGAGACAGAATTAATGTTAACTGAGTAATCTCACTGTCCAAGGTGATTTTTCTTTGTAAATCAGTTTTTCCACATAAAATACGATACAAAACCCTTTCATATTCTTCCATGAAAGAAAAAGGCTCAACCATTTTTAAGTGGTTATGAATTTTGAATTAAGAAAATGAGAACTGACATGACTTTGATTATAAACTTTGGTCCTTATTCAGAAACTGTGGTTCAGATTAGAATTTTAATTCCAGACCTAGAAACTTGAGGTTGGCATAGCAAGAATCCCGGAAGGAAAGAACACACAACAGGAAATGATCTCTTTTCCAGAGAACAAGCATTTTTGTACTCTTCTGTGACTACCATTCCAGCACTGATGGTCTTTGAAATAACACTTTCTGAAGTTCTAACTAGAGAAAAATTCAAAATAGTACCTACCTACACAAAATACTTTCATGACAAAAGCATCCACAGGAGAGAATTCTTTCATGGTAGTGGTGAAGATGGGTTAGTGTCTCTGCTGTGTGGCCACTGAAATTTGGGTTATAAGAGAAGGATCTGAAAGAAAGAAGTTCACGTGGCCCGCAGTCCCTGTAGCAACACTGACCACTTGGTGTGGCTTGAAGAGCAGCTTCTGGGTGGGGGGGAGTCTAGATTAAGAGGAACTCTGTGCTTCAGCTGGGTGTGTTATTTAGTATAAATGAAGCATTCCTTCTAGCTGAAGTTACTGTGCACTGTAGAGCAGGTCTCCCACCAGGGATTTTTCCTTTAATTTTAAAAATTCTTTTAGTAGATACTTCCAAACCTTGTCTTCCTGGCCCTGTGGTTTGCAAATTTTTGTTTGTCTAGAAAAACTGTCATTTAGCACCACACTGTCTCGCTTTAAAACCCTCTTACTTTTCTCTTGTTTTAGAAAATGTGCAGTCAGACCTCCTTCACAAGTACCAGAGTAAAGATGACATTCTCATCCTGACGGTGCGGCTGGCGGTCATTGCGGCGGTCATCCTCACAGTGCCGGTGTTATTTTTCACGGTGAGTAAAATCTCTGATGCAGCCTGAGAAGAACTGGGCTCTCGCCTTTCCTAAAGAGCCTGCTCCAGAGAGAGCTGCTCGCAGGTGACTTCCCTGGCCGCCTGCACCACATCGGGGAAAGAGCCCGAGACGCCATGTTCTTGGCACAGCACATGGGGTGGGTGATTTAGCGTAGCCTCCGGGAACAGAACCTGGTTCCTGGTGAATTGCCATAGCGAAAAATACGCTGATCAAAGAAAACAGCGAATGCTTACACTTTTAAAATGTATTACGGTCAAAGACACAGTGCCACTAATCTTCCTCGGAAACACGCCCCCCACCTCATCGTTCTTGGCACTGTCTGAAGCGGTTCTGGAAGTCCTCCTTCCTGAGTGTCTTTAGCTGTGATGCCATGGCTGTCTTAATGTCCTGAATCCATGAAAAATATTGACTTTTCGTGGTCATTTTGACTGTGGGGGAGAACCAGAAGTTTCACGGTGCCCGGTCCAGTGACGAGTAGAGGAGGCCACAGCGTAATGTGTTTACAACTTTGCCTTCCTGTTGGATGCATTCTGCCACAGCATTCACCGTCTTTTTGATCACACTTCATAAAGACACAACTGCTTTAGAAAGTGGAAAGAACGGGGAATAAATATATGCGAAGCAAGGAGCATTCTGAGGGGCATTGGTGGCACTACGTCTTTCTGTAATAAATGTAAACACTCACTGTATATTTTGATCACCCTGAGTGCATAAAAATATTTTCCAGCTTAAGTCACCCCTCCCTCATTTCTAAAACTGTTAAGCGTCAGAATTTGCCAGGCATTACGAAACATTTCACACATTCCTGGCCATTGATAAATCAGTTGCTGCTCAGAAATGTGACGGTTAACATATTTAGGCTTTGACGGAATCTTTGTTTTCTTTTCCTGCAGGTTCGTTCATCTTTATTTGAACTGGCTAAGAAAACAAAGTTTAATTTGTGTCATCATGTCTTGGTTACCATCATACTCTTGGTTATTCTCAACTTGTTGGTGATCTTCATCCCCTCCATGAAGGATATTTTTGGAGTCGTAGGTATGGCTTTTTTCCTCTGTACCAATCATTCAACAATACACAGCAGGCTTTGAAAGTTAAAATGTGAAAATAACCCCAAACTTTCTCCTTTCCTTTTTATTTTGCAGGAGTTACATCTGCTAATATGCTTATTTTCATTCTTCCATCCTCTCTTTATTTAAAAATCACAAACCAGGATGAAGATAAAGGCACTCAAAGAATTTGGGTAATGTCTCTTGGCAACCACTGTTTCTGATTAGTTTTCCATTTAAACTTAGCCAATAAGTAGTCCATCTGTCGTCTACCACTACTTTCAAAGGAGGCATTAGCCCTGTAGTTTCGCCTTTGGGCGATAAAAAATTTCACATTAGAATCTTTTCCATTCCTTCAAAATGATTCTCCTGGTTTTACCCTTTTAACGCCTTAGCTTTTTTTTTTTTTTTTTTTTTTTTTCCCC